GGGGGGGGGGGGGGGGGCGAGGCCTTGTCTGGCCTCTCCGGGGGTGCAAAGTTGTGGACCAAGCGTTGGGCAGGGCGAGCCCTCCGCTTAAAATCAGGCAGTGCGTCCTCGCCTCAGACTCGCGTCCTGCCTGGTGCCGTCCCCGGGGCTGCCCCCGCCCTCGGCCCGGCCCGTGTGCGGCCCCTGCGCGGGGCACGAAGGCCCGAGGGGCCCGGGGAGCCCGGGGGCTGCACCGCGGGTCTCCGGCGTCGGTCTCGGCACAGGATCCGCTGGGTTAAATCTCCGGCTGTGCAGGAGGGGAAGTGGCAGCCCAAGGGTGGGCTGAGGTGGTTACCGGGACGGGGGGGGGATTTCACACTCTTGTAGGGATGTGGTTACGAAGGGAGTGACCTCTTCAGTGGAAGCTTGTAACTTGAAATCCTAACTAGTTTTTGCAAGAGGCCTAATTACATTTTATCAAGTGTGATGAATGCGCATGCAGTTCAACCCGCTAGGGTATTGTTGTGTGTTTCAGTCGCAGCGTTGCTCGTTGCTGTCCTTCTGTGGCAATCGGTCATTTCCTTATTTTACGAGTACAAATTAAGTTAAAGCTGCTTCTCCAGTTGCTTGGTTCATCCATGAGAGAGGGTGCTTTTTACAGCCTTTCTGACTTCAGCTATCTATGCCTGTAAGCCACACAGAGTTACAAACACCTGGTTTGTAACCTCAATGACAGAATAGTGGAAAGAGGCTGGATCAATTACAGAAACTAACTTGTCGAACATTTGGATGAAAAATGTAGGTTAATATATTTTCAGCACTGCTTAAATTGCCCTAATATGAGTTGTCACGATTGTAGGGCTTAGCTAGGTATGTTACCTACTTGAATTTCAAGGATAGCACTTCCATTTCAAAATTTTAATTTTAAGTGTTTGATACATTTTATAAAAGACGTGTTCTCCTTCTTTAGGTAACACAGTATTAAAAAAAAAAAGGAAGAGAGGGAGTTTTCCCTTTGTCTTTAATGCAGTGTTAGTCTTCTTGAGGGGAAAAATGCATCAGGATTAATAATCTGCCTTTGCAAAAAAGTTCAAAATTGTTCTCAAATTAAAATCAGTTTGGCAAGCTGAATTCTTACAGATACCAACGAGAAATCTAAGCTAAAGTTGGTATAATCAGTAACTTTCTGAATTATTTTTAGGACGCTGTTTGGTTTCGTTTGTCAGTAGTAATAACTGAAAGTTTACATTCAGTCTGTTTCCAGTGAAAGCTGTGATTTTAGTGGGATTTTGCTAAAGCAGCGAAGTAGCTGCTATAGGTTTTTTTCTTAACAGCTTGTGTCCTACAGTGTAAAGGGTTCTATTTTCTAGAGACTAATAGAGAGTTGATGGTTGCAATCTCTTCTATCAGCAGTTGTTTTTTTGGAAATACATTGATTTTCACCAAAATATTTCTGTTAGTTTCAGAAGCACATATAAGCAACCCAGGTAGTGTGAGCAGGCGTGGTAATTCATTCCCACACTGGCATCTGTTGCTCTGGTGAATTTTTTGCTCAGTTGCATGATGAGACAGATCAAGGAAGTGATCCAGGTTAAAGACAAGTTTTAAAAATTATTTTCATTTTGGATCAGCTCCCTGGTGTGTTTCATTACACAGTCATGTAAGTGGACTAGCATAACTGGGAGAGAGGAAGAAGGGAGAAGATATCAGGAAAGAAGCAAGTAGCCAGGTGGGATAAAAAGCAAGAGGGAGGAAAATGGCAGTGGAGTTCCCCCAAAAGTTGCTAAATACTTCAGTAAGACAAAACAGGTCGTTCAGTGGTAATTTGATTTGCATATGCCTTGTGCTCTGCAAGGGATGAAAACTTAGTTTTCTTGAAAATTAAAATTTCCAAAGCTGTCCTTTTTTTTTTGAGAGAAGCTGCTTTATTCTTAAATACTTGCTGGTCATAACTGCAGGAGGTGTTTCTCTTAGTGCAGGTGAATGTTTTTTATAATGTGTACTGTATATGCAGTTTGAAGGTGGGGGAGATTTAGTTGTATTTCCAGGAAGGATTTGGCTGCACTTGGTCCCCAAACAAAAAGTGAAACTAAACAAAACCCACTCTAGTAACAAGTGAACAAGGCAACTTAAATCATCTCAGCTACGGTCATACTAACATAGCTGAGTGTTCACCAGAGAACTGACTCTTTCCTACTGTGCTTACTGAACTTCAATTATTCATGAGTGAATTGAAGTGCTGGTTTGAATAAGTGAAGTGTTAAGGGACAAAATGAGCTTAAATACTTCCTGATGAACTCATAAGGAAATGAGTTGTTGCTGACAGCTGGGTATGGTCTGTAGCAAACAGTGAAGGTGACAGCCTGAAACTGCTATTCTGTTTTTTAATCTGGTTTTGTCATGTGCCCTTGTTTCGGTACCTTACATGAGCAAACAGTATCAGCTCTGAGGTACACTTTCCCATGAACTATCCTGTGGGATACTTGCTTGCCTTTTGCTGAGGGAGATATTAGAGCCACTAATAAATTTCTTACCATTTCTGTGTTCCACTCTTCTCGCTTCATGTAAGCAGTTCACGGGCTCTCAGTTCTGTGTACCACCTTCTAGCCTTTCTCAGAACCTTTCCACTTAACAGAGATCTGTATACCATTTACCTTACCACAGAGATCCAGAGAGCAGCATAATTCTTGTGGTTGTTTATGGAGGATCCTGTTTCTTTAGAAGTCTGCTCTTTTCAAAGTTAATCACCAGTATGGAGCAGTAAAATGAGTGATGGAAAAACATTGTGTTACACAGGCAAGGTGTGAAGAGATTTTTTGCTGTGCACGTGTACACTTGGCTTCACAGAAAAAGGGACACTTACCTGTGATTATGTAAGTGTTGGTGATGCTGAAGTGTGTTCTAGTGACCGTAAGAGGTTCACAACTGTAAATTCACATCTTTACCAAAACTACAGTCAGGACTTACTGCCAGCTCCATATTGCTGAGGTTACGATGCCAGTAGTAACTCCAGAGGTCCTGGTCCACCTGGGTTGTATGCTTGGAGTTTCTCAATGGAGAAATGCAGGGATTTCGTTGCAGTCTGACAGTGTGTCCTGTGCTCTTAAGACCTTATAATCAAGGTGAGGTTTCTTGGCGATTTATGTTGATCTGAACTAGGGCTGCTGGTGTTGCCTTCTTCCTGCTCAGATACCTGGCTTATGGATCTAGAGCTTGCTTGAAACATTCCTTTTCACTGATAAATGAACTTAGAAACTTGAAGTGGATGCTTGTGTTTATTTAGACTTTACTAACTATACAAAAAGGTGCTTGTCAGTGTAGTGGTTCTGTAAAATTTATGAAATACGAATATGTACACACAATTTTGAAATATTTTTTCTGGCTTTATGTATACTATAATGTGGTCTAAATAATGCTTTTTGATATAACTGCATGGTAGAAGAACTATTTTCAGTGTTATGTATATGTAGGTACTGCTTCCTATGGCATCAGCATAACTATGCCAGTGAGACTTAAAGATGTACACGCAGAGAGTTTTTTTAAGACCTATTAGAAGTATAATTACAGATATTCTCCATGGTCATGCAAATGCAATGCTATGAGTTTCAGCAGTTAAATTTCTCCAAGCATTTCTTTAACAAATCCTTAAGTTGTATGGATATTTAGTTCCATTTAGTTATATGAATATTTAGTTATGGGTATTTAGACCTGAACTAGTCTTTTGATCTAGATGAATATACATGAACCCAGGCTTTCATAAATTACTTGAGAATACTTTTGTCGCTGTCATCTGTATAAGATACATCCCATTAGTAGGGACTTTATTTGCATATTCTCATCTAATCCTACTGGCAGCTACATTCTTCTGTTTATATCTTATCAGGGATAAAATGTATGAGATCAAGTGGCTAAAAGCACAAACCACTAGTTGAGATAATCTGACGGGTGATTTTTATCAGTATGGGCAAAAGGAGCAATGACATGAGACAGTAAGCCACTGATTTTATTAGGCACTGTTCACTTTTGCAGATTAATTAAATACTTATATTTTAAGATGTATGTTTTTAACATTTGAGAGCATTTGGACTAAGGCTTTGACGTTTTCTGTAACCTACATTACATCAGTATATAGCAATAGTTCCTTACATTTTTGTAAGGAGAGTTTGATAGGATGATTGTATAACCCATGATCAGAATACTGTGCTGAATTCTATATTGCTCTTTTGTCTTTAATGGCAGTATAAATGTTCTCATTAAAAGGTATGAGTATGTAAATATCTAATAATAAATTAAATTAGAGCCTTTTGATAGTGCTGTACAAACCAGCTAAATTTAATGTTACTCTTTAACATATGGTTTCTGGCTTGGTATGGTTGAGGAGTGCAAACTAATGCCATTGTTTGTATTTTATTTCAGCTTTGTCCAAAGTTCTTGCATACCAACTCTACCAGTCACACCTGGCCTTTCAGTGCAATTGCAGAACTTATAGGTATGTAGATCAATATTTTGCCTCAGTACTTCACTGTAGTAACTTTTTCTTGTTGTAAAACTTTTTTCCTTCATGTAGGGAAGGGAGTTAATCCTGTTGTTACCATTCAGTATCTTACAACAGTTTTTTGGGTTTTTTTTCAGTCAGATTGACTGTTTTCTTTCTTAACAGGCTATGTACTACTTGACAGCAGTTGCAGAGGCCTTGTAGGATTTGCTGTTTTCTTTTTTCTAAGTGTATTAAAGATTGCCAAATGTAGAAGACTGTGGGACCAAGTTAATTCCTTCTTTAGTCCTCCTGCTTCTTCCTGTTCCCAGGCTGAGTGCACACTCCAAAGATTTGCATGCACACTTGCATCCTGTATAGAACAACTGGCCACAGACAGAGGAGCACAGACAGGAGGACATAACTTTGCAAGAACCCACATAAACACAAGAGGTGCTTGAATCCTGAACAGCATGAATGACCTTATCATGTTTCTGCCTCCTGGCTAGCTAGGTTTAAAGTTCAGTAGTGGTGCATACAGCTTTCCCGTGTTTCTGGGTATTTCGCCTGGACCTGGGAGTCTGAAAGCTCAGTCCTGGGCTTTCTACCAGTCTCTGACTTAGACCTTGGATTCCAGTAGTTGCTGGTTTCTTCTGACGTGTCAGATTGCTCAAACTTTTCTAGCACAACAAATGTTCAAATGTGTACAGGCAGACATTGAGAATAGAGAGCAGTCACTCATGAACTTGTTAGAAATAATGTTTAGTAAGAACGTACCACAGAGTGTCACAGGGTCCAACCATACAGGCAGTATTGACCAGCAGCCAACTTGCACACAATCGCCCTGTATTCCCTGCTCGCTGTCCCATACTATTTTTTTCCCATCCACTTCGACCTTTCCCTTTTGTTCAATGCTTCCTCAGAACATTCAATAGTAATTTCTGCACGTTGTCAAAGTTCCTCTCAAACATCCTGACTTTCTTATTTTGGGTTACTAAGTTTCTGTCTGAACATCTTCAGGGTTATACTTGAGTGGTTCCTTTTAATCATTTATCCATTGATGTTCTAAGAGTTCTGCTCTTTGTTACTGTCTTTGTCCTAGGGCTTCTATGTCTGTTTAATTTATTAGCTCCTGTTGATCATCTCACCTTTGATTTTGAATAGCTATTAACTGGATATCTTCCGAGTTGCTTGTTTTCTGAGTTAAGGAATGATTAGCAGACTTTCTTGAAATGGTTCCTCAAAATAAAGGTGTGATTTGGAGGGACTTTCCAAGTTTATCTAGCAGTTTGCTGCTTTCAAAGGGAGCAACTTTTCTGGTCACATACGTTCCTTTTCTTCCCGTGTGTTAGTTTTGCTGTTGCTAATCCAGAAAATTAACCTAACTAAAGAAAGTAGGAATTTTTCAGCTAGATAAGGCCAGAGCTGTCACAAAGGAGGAAACCACAACCACATGGCTGCCAGAAGGGCTGGCTACTTTGCAAGTAACAATATGTTAAGTAATTTCTTATCATGCCATGCTATACCTGGCTGGAATGATGGTAGATGTGCTGTGCAAGGCATGCAGACTTGTCTTCTTCCTTTACCTCTAGTTTATCATAATGTGTTGCTTTAAAAAAGCTTTAAAAGCATAGTAGCAATGTATTGGTTGTGAAGGCTTCTCGTTAGTCATGTTGATTTAAATACATTCTGTAATTGATGTTTCACATGCTATGTAAGGCTGCTATAACATATGCCAAATATCGAATAATAGGTTTACATTACGGAGGGCTGAATTTTAGTTTATGCAAACTTTCCTAAAATGCTAATGATCTGTATGCTGAAATTTGCTAGTATTATTGGAGCCATCTCCTGTTAGTCCTCTGCCAGATTAAATTTAGGTGAACTGATGGTGATACTTGTAAGAGAGTAAATGAGACATCTAGAGTGAGTTGCTGAGCTAGCAAATCATAAATCATTGCACAAAACATGGTCTTAGAAGAGCACTTCCAAACTTTCAGTTCTACTTGAAATGTCCTCTTTTGTTGATGCTGAAATATATTTTTATGAACTTTTTCACTGTGGATGCCATTTGTACTTTATGCTTTTAGAAAGCAAGCTACCAAGCTGTGATTCCTTTTTATAGGCTGCAGTGTTGGCTTGAGCAGTTTATTTATGGCCCTCAGCTGAACCTGCAAAACAGATAGTGTGGTAGGGGCAGTGACTCCTGCTGTGCCATCTCATCCCACCCCACCCCCTCCCTTTCCCCTTCACAAATTCCACGAGTAGCACCACACTGGGGGAAGGGGGGAGAAGAGATGACTGAAAGTGGTGTTAGGGCAGATGAGATTTAGACTAGCTTTGCTGCCAGGAGATGTTTGTGGAGCCATGGTTTTAAATTCTCTTGTGGTAGCAATGCTGCAAGCTCAAATCCTGAAAATACAAAACTTAGTTTAAAACATTTTCTGCTTCTCTTCTCTGAAACTTATCTTCCTAGATTTGAACAACTTGCTCTAGCAAAGTGCATGTTTGTGACACTCAGCTCTGTTAATATGGAAGTAATGTAGTAGCAGTGTAGCGATAATTTTTTCACATAAATCTTGCACCTCAGGAGTCAGAACTTTAAATTTTATCTGGGATGCCGAGAGTCACCTTCAGGTTTTTTGCTTGCTTCCTTTTTTTAGTGTCTCAAATTTGATACTTTGAAGTTGTGATAGTATTTCAAATCTCATTTCACAGTTAAAAATCCTGCAGGCCCACAGCAGTAAGGTGAAGTTGCAGGCCTATATATTAGTAGTGTGCCATTATCTGCACAGCAGACAATGACCCAACCTCCTGAGAGCCAGTCAGAAGGGATGTTTGCGTGGCTGGGAGAAAGTACATACTGCAACAGCTGCCTGGGAGACAGACTGAAAGAAGAAACTTGTCTTGGTTTCGCTTTCTATTCTCAAATTTGAGCCTCTCATCTCCACCTGAAGTTTTGCGTATACATTACTGTCATCTCTAATTGCTGGGTATTCGTGTGGTGTTTTCAGGCAAGGTTTGCCAGGTTTTGATGGAGCTGTTTCATTATTATGTTTTGATTTAGTGTTGTCATCTATAAAGAAGTGGTTTAGTGGTTTAGGATACTTAGGTTTTAGCATAACGTTCCTTTATTAAAAGCTATGACTTCTTGCTTCTGTGCCATAGTTGACTAATATTCAGTGACTTAGCTGAGAAATGTGTATCTGTGCCAGCACAAAAATTCTGCAACTATACTGCATACCTAACTGGAGCTGAAAAATGGCTGCAGTTTTAGAGCTCCATTCATGCAGCATGTGACTTTGTAGGGTCAGGCTCATGATTAAGGAACTCTGTAAGTTGCCGTATTTACCAAATAAATATGCATGCAAATGTAGCATCATAATAAAGTTAGGGACAGTTATTCCATATAGCAGTTTGGCAGGGTTGCAAGACTAACATTCATCAGATTGATTATATGTGTACTCCTGCTAGACAAAGCTCTGTTCTGTACTACATGCAGATTTAGGTAACTTTGGAAGAATTGCTATGTGACATCTCCACTGGAATTAAGCATTGTAAAATATATTTAATTTTTGCTTTTTAGTATCCCAACTTTGTTTGCTTTCTTTCTCTTCAGATAATGCTTATGATCCAGATGTGAGTGCTAAACAGATATGGATTGACAAAACAGTGATAAACGACAATATATGCTTGACATTCACTGATAATGGAAATGGTATGAACTCAGAGAAGCTCCACAAAATGCTAAGGTGGTTTACTTCTTTTGCAATTTTCTTTTAAAGATTCCTGTTTCTAGTGTTGTTATTGTTTGGTTTATTTCTTTTTCTTGTGTGGAATCTAATTTTGTTCATAAACTTATCAATTCTGAAGGTGATTATCCAAGTGAGACTCTAGAATAGACAGATACTTGTGAAACTTTCACACAACTTTGTCAGTGTATTTTATCTTATAATTTCCTTTTATTCTTTTTGTCAGCCTTCCCATTAAACTTTTTGTGCAGTGATTGTGCTGTGTAAACTCTCTGTAGTGCCTTTTAGCAGAGATAAAAATAATTTAATTTAATTTTTTAATTCAAGATTGCTTTAGGCTAAGTTAGCAAGCAAGAGACAAAGAGATATTCAGGTCAAACCCTTTGGAGTATTGAAAATAGAAGGTACTGTGGAAAACTGAAGGGAATTATAATTATATTGATATGGATTGTCGTTTTACCTTTAAGTATTCTGAAGAGTTTGAACTGAGCTTTTTGCAGCTTTTGTTTCTATGGTTAGCAAAGAGGTTGCTGTTCAGTAGGCCTTTTAAGTATGAAAGCTTTCTTTGCCTGCAGATAAATCTCTGGGTTTAAAGTTGAGCAAGTTTGAATTCAAAGTTTTATGGCTTTTTTCTGTCAGATACCATAAATTCATTTACTTGCTAAATTCAGTATTCCAGATGCTGTTACTTGTTTTACTTCAAATGTAATGTGTAGTTGCTAATGAAAAATTTGTAGATTGTACATTTTCAAGCAAATGAAAAGGGAAGAAGAAAAGCCTTTGGGGTTTCTCTCAGCATTCATTGTGAAGCCACAGGATAACTATTAGATTCCTGAAAGAATGCTCATTACATAATTTCAGACAGATTATCTTTCTTTTCCATACTTAAAGATAAAAGTAAATTTCCCTGAATTCTTGCAGTGTAGTTTTAGCAATGTTACACAGGTAATTTTCAGGATTTGCTTAACTGTATGTTAATAAATGGTACAGTAGTCCCCGATTTCTAAAACAACATATTAACTTGTGTTTAAGTCTAATTTGGTAAGTCTTGCATGTGTCTTGTAGATTTATAAGTTTAATAGGAGTTTTTATACTCTCCTAATGTTGTCATATATTTCAGCTTCGGCTTCAGTGAGAAATCTGTGATGAATGGCCGTGTTCCAGTGGGATTGTATGGAAATGGGTTTAAATCAGGATCCATGCGCCTGGGAAAAGATGCAATAGTCTTCACTAAGAATGGAGAAACCATGAGTGTTGGCCTATTATCTCAGACTTTCCTTGAAGTCACAAAAGCAGAACATGTCATGGTTCCTATAGTGACATTCAACAACCAACATATCCTTTGAACAGGTTCTGAATGAAAAGCCATGGCTACGTGCAAAATTTAGATTATAATATTAGTAAAAGAAATCTTGTCTAGTCTTACAGATACCTTAATTGTACTGTAAGATGTAAGGAATTCTATAAATTGTTAGGGCCTCTAGATTTATAGGAGCTCTGAGATGCAGAACGAAAACTCGTTTCATTTAAAGTTACTCTCCTTAACACAGTTCTTACGACAGATAAGTGATCCAGCAGAATCCAAAAACAGCCTGAAGGCTATCTTAACACATTCTTTGTTTTCTACTGAGGAGAAATTACTGGCAGAACTAGATGCTATAATGGGGAAAAAAGGAACAAGAATTATCATTTGGAATCTTAGAAGGTAAGATGAAGTTCTCTCATTCAGTTTATCTTTCAGTGTATGCAAATACAAGGGTTTCTTTGTAGAATAATTCCAAAAGACTGTGGGGATGTAACTCAGAAACTAAACTGGAACTCGCATGATTGAAGGGCTGTAAGGTGGCATGAGAGCTGTTGCTAGTATCTCAAGTAACAAAGCAGAAGGAAGCGGAGTGTAAAGAACTTCAGTGGCAGGAAAAGCTGAAAGGACTAGGAAAACACAACTGATTAATGTATGGCTTAGAGGCTGGTGCCGCTGGATGGACTTCGAGTTTTTTGATCATGGAGATGTTTACAGGGCACCAGGTCTGCTAGCAAACAATGGCATAGAGCTACCGACAAGGGGGGAAAAGGATTCTTGGCCAGGAGTTAGCAGGGGTCATTGAGAGAGCTGTAAACTAGACTTGGTGGGGGTAGGGGACAAAACTCCTGCATGGTTTGATTTCCAGAACACCAGGCCTGCTGGCATTGGATGGGAAGACCCTGTCCCGCAGGGGACAAAGGGTCCTAAGGCAGGAGTTAGAAGGGCTCATTCACAAAGCTTTAAACTAGATTTGAAGTGGGAAGGGGTTGTAGCTGGTTTTGAACTAGTGGAGCATTGTTTGAGTATTAATGAAGACCAGAAGGCCTCCTGCCTCCCAAGGGTGCCACCAGTGTGCTCAGCTTGCTCCCTGAAATGCCTGCACATTAATGCAGGCAGCATGGGGAATAAATAGGAGGATTTAGAAGTCTGTGTGCAGTCCAAGGGTTATGATCTGGTGGCAATTACAGAGACATGGTGGGACAGATCACATGACTGGAATGTGGTCATGGATGGCTATGTCCTTCTTAGGACAGACAAGTCAGTGAAGTGAGGTGATGGAGTTGCTCTTTATGTGAGAGAGCAACTAGAATGTACTGAGTTCTGTCGAGGGTCAGATGAGGAGCAAGTGGAAGGCCTGTGGGTATGAATTAAGGGGCAGGATGGCATGGGAGATACAGTTATGGGGGTCTATTACAGACCCCCTGATCAGGATGAGGGGGTTGATGAGGTTTTCTACAGGCAGCTGAAAGCAGCCTCACAACTACAGGCCTTGGTCCTCGTGGGGGATTTTAACTACCTAGATATTTGCTAGAAGGCCTACACAGCCAGCCATTCTCAGTCTAGAAGGTTCCTCCAGTGCATTGATGATAACTTCTTGATATAAATGGTGGACAAACCAACTAGGAGAGGAGTGCTGCTGATCTTAGACTCACCAACAAGGAGGGTCTGGTTGAAGTGGTGAAGGTCAATTGGCAGCCTTGGCTGCAGTGATCACGAGATGGTGGAGTTCAAGATCTTATGTGGGAGGAGCTGAATACCCAGACTTCCAGAACCCTGGACTTCTGCAGAGTCAACTTTGACCTCTTCAATCAATTGTTAAGAGAAGTCCCATGGAACAGGGTACTAGATGGGAAAGGTGCTCAAGATAATTGACATTCAAGGACCACTTCTTGCAAACTTATGATCAGAGCATCCCAATGGGCAGGAAATGAAGTAAGGGAGCCAGGAGACCCACACTGTTAAACAAGGAACTGCTAGGCAAACTCAAATTGAGAAAGACAATCTATGGATCATGGAAGGAGGGGCTGGCCACTTGGGAGGAATATAGGACTGTTGTCAGAGGATGTAGGGAGGCAATTAGGAAAGCTAAGGCCTCCTTGGAACTAAACCTTGCTAGTGAGGTCAAAGACAGTATAAAGGGCTTCTTCAAATACATTGCAGATAGAACTAACACTAGAGGCAATAGAGGCCCACTGCTGAATGAAGTGGGTGCCCTGGTGACAGAGGATATAAAGAAGGCAGAGGTACTATGGATCTGGATGGAATACACCCATGGGTGCTGAGGGAACTGGCAGAGGCCACTCTCCATCATCTTTGGTAAGTTGTAGGCAACAGGAGAGGTGCCTGAGGACTGGAGGATAGCAAAAGTGACTCCAGTCTACAAAAAGGGCAAGAAGGAGGACCTGGGTAACTATAGACCGGTCAGCCTTACCTCCATCCCTGGAAAGGTGGTGGAACAACTTATTCTTGGCACTATCTCTAGGCATATCAAGGATGAGGAGAGTCATTAAGAGTAGTCAGCATGGTTTTACCAAGGGAAGGTCATGTTTGACCAGCCTTATAGCCTTCTATGAGGAGATAACCAGGTGGATAGATGATGGTAGGGCAGTAGATGTGGTTTATCTTCATTTCAGTAAAGCATTTGACACTGTCTCCCACAGCATCCTCATAGATGAACTGAAAAATGTGGTCTTGATGGTCAGGTAGTGAGGTGGATCATGAACTGGTTGAAAGGAAGAAGTCAAGAGAGTTGTAGTCAATGGGACAGAATCTAGGTGGAGGTTTGTGACTAGTGGAGTCCTTCAGGGGTCGGTACTGGGACCAGTACTATTCAATATTTTCATCAACAACCTGGATGAGGGAACAGAGTGTGCCCTCAGCAAGTTTGCTGATGACACTAAACTGGGAGGAGTGGCTGACACACCAGAGGCTGTGCTGTCATTCCACAAGACCTGGACAGGCTGGAGGATTGGGCAGGGAGAAACCTGATGAAATTCAACAAGGGCAAGTGTAGAGTCTTGCACCTGGGGAAGAACAACCCCAGGTACCAATACAGGTTGGGGGCTGACCTGCTGGAGAGCAGTGTAGGAGAAAGGGACCTGGGGGTCCTGGTGGACAGGAGGATGCCCATGAGCCAGCAATGTGCCCTTGTGGCCAAGAAGGCCAATGGCATCCTGGGGTGTATTAGAAAGGGTGTGGTTAGTAGGTCAAGGGAGGTTCTCCTCCCTCTCTATTCTGCCTTGGTGAGGCCACATCTGGAATATTGTGTCCAATTCTGGGCCTCTCAGGTCAAGGACAGGGAACTGCTTGAAAGAGTCCAGCACAGAGCTACAAAGTTGATGGAGTGGAACATCTCTCTTATGAGGAAAGGCTGAGGGAGCAGGATCTCTTGGACTTGGAGAAGAGGAGACTGAGGGGTGACCTCATCAGTGTTTATAAATACATTGAAGGCAAGTTTCAGGAGGACAGAGCCAGGCTTTTTTCAGTGATGTCTAGTGATAGGACAAGGGGCAGTGGGTGCAGACTGGAACACAAGATGTTCAACGTAAACATCAGAAAAAACTTCTTTCCTTTGAGAGTGACAGAGCACTGGAACAGGCTGCCCAGAGATGCTGTGGAGTCTCCTTCTCTGGAGACATTCAAAACCCACCTGGACATGTTCCTCTGTGATGTTCTCTGCGTGATCCTGCTCTAGCAGGGGGGTTGGACCAGGTGATCTTTCCAAGTCCCTTCCAACCCCTAAGATTCTGTGATTCCAAAAAAATAACAACAAAACTTGAGCACAGGAACTTCCACCTCCACATGAGGGAGGACTTTTTACTTTGAGGGTTACAGAGCACTGTAACAGGCTCCCCAGAGAGGTTGTGGAGTCTCCTTCTCTGGAGACTTTCAAGACCTGTCTGGATGCCTTTCTGAGTGATCTGTCCTAGTTGTTGCTTATTGTTTTTTGTTGGTTTTGTTTTGTTTAGTCCTGTTCTTGCAGGGAGGTTGAATTCAATGATCTTCGGAGGTCACTTCCAACCCCTAATATTCTGTGATTCTGTGAAATAGCAAGATATCCTTGGCAAGAAATTGGCTTGTTTTTTAGTTTATCTTTATTGTTGCCCATCAGAAAAAAAGGTGGGAAGGGAGGGAGGCAGGCAACCACACTTGGATGAGTGTAGATTAAATGTTACAGCACAAAAAAGAGCTTTGTCAATTATTACAGCAGGTGAAAAGTTTGGGATTTTTTATTTCATTAGTTTCCTGCAAGGATTAGAGCCCAGAATAACTTCTAGCTTACAAGATTTTGATGCAAGAAAGCTGGAGGCTACAAATGTAATTCTAATTCTGGTTGTTTCCTCTTGTCACCAGCTCTGTAAGAAATACTTCCCCTTTACACTTCAGAAACTGATTTGCATTACCCAGGTAGACTTTTATTTATTTTTAGGTATGGTCATTTTTAGGACTGTGCATCACTTTGTTGCTTGAGCAAAAGAAAACACAATGCAGTGAGCTGATTGGTCAGGATAACTTTCATATTCTGAATTTTTAGAGTATATTCATGGGAAGTTGTGGGAAGTAACACTTCTGGAGTGTTAAAAAAAAAAGCCCGACAAACAAACCCC